TCCAGTTCCAGCCGCACTGGTGTCAGGCGCCACCTTGCAACCCCTGGCGCTCCAGCGCGGGCCGGACCGAGACCGGAGTCCGCTGAGCCCCGCGCTGTGACCCAGCCAGAGGGTCCCCCGGGATCCAGTTTCCCGGAGCCTCCCGCTGCCCCCGCCTGTGTGCGCGTCCGCATCTGCCCTGCCCCCCCCCCCCCGCCCCTACCTGGCCCCCTGCCCCAGCCTTCCCACTCTAGTCCTTTGTCCCCCACCACCACCACCAACTCCCACCCACCCCCACCCCCACCCCCTGTCTTGGCGAGTCCCCTTGGTGACTCTGGGGACCCAGCCCTATGGAGAGCCCCTTGCAAATCTAGCCCCTGGGAGGGGGAGGGGGCGGGGGCAGCGGGACTCCTGCACGCGGCTTTCAGGGTCCTCAAGTCCCCTCCGACGACGTCCTTAGCTTCTGGGCGAGGTCCCTGTCCCTGACCTCGTGGGCCCAGCACACACCCACCTCCATGCAGTACTGCCCACTAACCCGAGGATCGCCCGCCCTCCCTGGCCTCCTGGGAGATCTACTCCTGCCTGAGCCCAGCCCCTGCCCGCACAGCTGCCTCACCTCCCTGTCCTCCAACGCTGTGCCCTCACTCTGCTCCCCCTGGCACTCGCAGCATGGCCGAGGGAAGCTACAGCGTGCAGTCGGGGAGCTACGCTGTTGAAGACATGGAGGAAGGCAGAGGCGAGGCGGGCAGGGAGGAAGAGATGGTGGAAGGAAACGACTACGAAGAATTTGGTGCTTTTGGCGGCTATGGCGCCCTCACCAGCTTTGACATCCACCTGCTCAGAGCCTTCGGCAGCCTGGGGTCGGGCCTTCGCATCTTATCGGTGAGGCGCCCGGGCCTGGACACCTGCTTGTCCCCGGGAAGGAGGGCTGGCTGAAGGGGAGGGCCCGATGGCCAAGGCCAGCCTCCCCCACCCTCCCAGTGGCCAAGGCCAGCTCCCTGCCACCTTCCCGCGGGCGCTCAGAGGAAGGGGGCTGGGAAGGTCCTGGGGGTGGTCGGCACTGGCTTCTGGGAGGAGGCTGGCGGGCACAGCGAGGCCTGGGTGCAAGTGTGCCAGGCTACGTGCCTCCCTTCCCCTTCTCTCTGGCCTTGCAGAACGAGCCCTGGGAACTGGAAAACCCTGTGCTGGCCCAGACCCTGGTGGAGGCTTTGCAGCTGGACCCGGACACACTGGCCAATGAGACGGCCGCCCGTGCTGCCAACGTAGCCCGCTCTGCCGCCTCCAACCGAGCCGCTCGGGCTGCTGCCGCTGCCGCCCGCAGGTCCTTCAACCAGGTGATGGGGAACCACCGGCAGCCCACACCGCAGGCCTCGGGACGTGTGAGCCAGCCCGTGCCGGACGCCAGGGCCCCGGGGGCCGCCCCGGAAACACCTCCTGCTTCTCCGCAGATCT